GTCACCATGTGTATTTTAAGCAGCCTCGATACATTGATCCTTAAATCATAAAAGACTTTATATTAAAACAGCTACTTTTTCCATGCTAGTTGCTACGAGAGCGCCTCAAACCTTCCATCCCACACCGAGGCACACACCCTGTGTGCACATACAAGCCCACTTACATACCTGCCCTTCTGCTCAGACTCACCCAGCTCAGAGCACAGGGTGGATCAGGGCTGCCATTCTTCTGTCAGCCACAATTTGGACTAAGTGCTGCTTTTTCCTTTGGTAAATCTGGGACCCTGCACATCATTTACAAATTACTTCCATAAGAAAATACGTGTGATTCCAATCTAAGGAAATATAACCCATGATGGGGCTAGCTACCTTTAAAGTGTCTTGATTTTTACAGGCATACCTCAGAGATACTACAGTTTTGGTTCCAGACCACACCACAGTATGGCAAGTCTTGCAGTAAAGCAAGTCACCCAAATTTTTTGGTTTCCCATGAAAGTTATGCTTACGATGTACTGTAGTCTATTAAGGGTACATTAGCATTATGTCTAAAAAAATGTACATAACTTTGATTTTAAAATACTTTATTGTTAAAAAATACAACCGATCATCTGAGCTGTTAGTAAGCTATAGTATTTTTTGTTTTTTTTTTATTTGCGGAGAATCTTGCCTCCATGTTGATGGCTGCTGACTGATCAGGGTGGTGGTTGCTGAAGGTTGAGGTGGCTGTGCCGTGGAACTTCTTTCAGAGTTGGAGTCACTCTTCTCAAACCCTGCCGTTGCTTTATCAACGAAGTTAACGTAATATCCTAAACCCTTTGTTGTCATTTCAACAATGTTCACAGCATCTTCACCAGGAGTCTGTTCCATCTCAAGAACTCACTTTCTTTGCTCATCCATAGGAAGCAACTCCTCATCCATTTGAGTTTGATCATGAGATTGCAGCAATTAATTCATTATTTTCAGGCTCCACTTCTAATTCTAGTTCTCTTGCTATTTCTACTATATCTGCAGTTCCTTCCTCCACTGAAGTCTTGAACCCCTCAAAGTCATCCATCAAGGTTGTAATCAATGTCTTCCAAACTTATGTTAATGTTGATATTTTGACCTCCTCCCATGAATCATGAATATTTTTGATGGTGTCTAGAATGATAAATCCTTTCCAGAAGATTTTCAATTTACTTTTCAAAGATCCATCAAGGAATCACTATCTGTGGCAGCTACATAGGCTTATAGAATGTATTTCTTAAATCATAAGACAAACTTAAACCTCCTTGATCCATCGTCTGCAGATAGGATGTTGTGTTAGCAGGCATGAAAACAATATTAATCTCCTTGTACATCTCCATCAGAGCTCTTGGATGAC